TTTTTAGGCTTGGTCAGTTAACTTGACCTGGTGACCTGACCTGACATGACCTGGGCTCAAAAATTTCACACATTGTCCAAAATTGATGTACTAAAAGCTACCCCAAGCGGCGCGGCGCTACGCGCCGCGGTTTTTATTTATACGAAAAAAAAAAACGCGACAGGGTGGTAACATATGCCCCCTGCCCCCCCCCCCCCCCACTGGGGCGAAGGTTAAGTAAAAACTTATTTTTTAAATACAAAACTAAGAGCAGGAAATGGTTCGACAAGGCGAGATAAGCACAAAACTGCAAATAATTTCTTCATAGGGGTATTGAGCTCCCACAAAGTGACATTGAAGTTTTGCTCCCCCCCCCCCCTCACTTTTCGTGAGGTTCCTACGCCCATGTGAGTTTCCCAGGCAAAAGTCTGTCTGGGCTTCCCTTAGTTCTCTATCCAGAAGGGTGTGGAGTGGACTGACTTGAACAATCTAGTTACGTATCAATGATGATGATTTATCAATGATGGAATAACATTTAACATATGACGTGGTGTCAGACCTCGCTGGCTCCCACACAAAGACGCTCAGACCTCAGTGGTTTCCGTCTCGCACACAAGGGCGGTCGGTGGCCCAGTGGCTCAGTGGCTTCCAGACAGGGCGGCCAGAGCTCGCCGACCATCCCCCCCCCCCCCCCCCCCCAGCTGGGGTGTGCGTTCTTGGGCAAGCCGGAAAAGGACAACGTACCGAGTAACAACAAAACCGTACCCAAGATCGCATGTTAAAATAAGCAACTGGCGAAGATCTGTTTGTGTTCCGAGTCGGTCGGATCTGTCGCCCGCTTATCGACATGAGTTATTGCCACAGCGGGGCAAGCTGTTACCAGTCACCTTGTCGTAGCACGCTCACCATAACAGAGTAAGAACACTCGAAAACACACCCGGCCGGCCGCTGACCTTGTTTCAACACACGGGTACTTCCAGTCTACAGGATGCGTACAGCTACACTGACAACACGGTGGCTTTTCATGTCATTACATTTCAACTTATTTATAGGATTGAACCATGAGGTGGATAACTCATTCATATCTTAAAAAAAAAATAGGGGACCGACGCATGCGTGCGCTTGGTCAGCGACTCTATAGCATAAATATCATTATTTTATTATCATTTTATGGTGAATTCTGCGCTCGAAAATCTGTCGAAAAGAGCATGCCTACCTAAGCATAGATAAATGGTAAAATCTTAAACAAAGACTAAAAGCAAAACACTTTGATAGTCTCGTTTGTGGTTGCTCGCGGCTAATTCTTTTGGGGTTTGTGAGTCCCATCCTCCTATAAAGTGGCTCAGTTAGTAATTACACAGGCACGGTTCGGACAAGGTTACACGGTTCCCGAGCCGCGCCGTTGGGGGCCGTTCTGCCCCTCACGCGCCGTGCGGCCTCTGAAAGCCAGACCCATGCCAAGCTGCGCAGCCTGGCTCACTACTAGCCAGCCCTGCACGTGTGTCACAGCCCGGCCGCTCAATATCGCCCTGTCAGTCGATAGAGTTACCCGTCCCGCTCAGTCGGCACAGGCGTTTTTGTTGTGCACTGATGCTCACAGCAGCCCAGCATTCAGGTGAATATTGTATTGTTTTAGGCCTAAATATTTAAGATGCTCAATAATGATCTATAATGTGACAGCCTAGAGCAACAGTCATTCCTCACTGCAATCACTGCGCCACACACAATCCTCATATACCATACCATATACCTCATATACATGTAGAACTGTGACAAAGTATCCCAATGCAGCAGTGACAGGTATTACCATCAGGCATCAGTGACAGGTCTTACCATCAGTGACAGGTCTGACCGCATCGGTGACAGGTCCAACCAGTGACAGATCTGACCAGCAGTGATAGGCCCGGCCAGTGACCGTCCCGGGGCCAGCCGGCCGGGTCCGGACGCGGCTGCGTTAGCTCTCCCCGGAGCAGCGGTCCCGGTGGGTCACGCAGCTCCACACAAGGCACCAGTCTGATAACTGGCACAACAAACAGGCTGTTGATGGCGGCTCCCAGACGGCTGCGGCCGCCGGCGCTGGCCGCTGCTATCGGGGCCGGCGGCCGCGGGCCCGTGTTGTTACAGGCCCCGAGGTGCCGGCGGCCGCCACTGGACCGGGCGGCACCGTGAGTGACCAGACTGGCATAGATATGGGCCACGCTCTGCGTCTCCCGAGGTCAAACCGCCACAAACAGCTGGCTATTTAGTAACTGCATCAATTGCATATGAATGTATGCAGTCGATGTCACTCGTGAGGCTTACCGAATGAATGATATGGCTATAGCTAAAAAAAAAAAAATGTCGCAGAAATTACTATTCAGTTTCCTTCTGCATACAAGATGCTTACTTTGCACGGTTCTCTCTGATAGTATGAAGAACCACGATGTGAGTTTGTTGAGATTTTCTCACTGAAATACACGAATCGTCATAGCGTCGAAAACTACGTGCTCCATCGGCGTAACGTGATGATAAAATATTACGATGACCGACTGCCGTGTCTCGTAACACTCGGAACTCTCTGTAGTGCCTGCACACTGCACAGTTCACACTGCACAGTGTACAGGGCGCACGGTCGACAGAACCGCGGCGGTCGGCCGCTCTGCCTACCTGGCGTAGCGTACTGCCTGGAGGGTAGGCTGTGCCGCGCAGCACCCGAGTACCGCGGCACAGCCTACCGCCCGGCAGCCGCGCCCGCTGGGACGGCGGATAGCAAATGGAGCTCAGAAATAACTTGCTTATAATAGATGTGCATTTGGTTTTGGCACGTTTTTGTATAGGTGTATCTAATACTTATGTGTTGCAGCTTACCAGTGATCGTTACAAGCTGTATTGTAAACAATCCAGCAGTCGTCTGAACCGGTCACTGAGCGAACTTAGAGCCCCGCTGCATGATAGGTATGTGGTGGTAGTTGGAAATGTTCAGTCTGGACAAAGAGTAGCGCACTGCATTCTTGGCAGCGCCAGTGGTCCGGTGTTTGTGGACTGAGGGTTACCAAGGCCGGCTCTGACCGGCCGCTCGCCTGACGAGCCCGTGTGAACGGGGCCGGCCTGACGTGGGGCCGGGTAGGGAGGGAGGGGGCGCTGGCCGACCGCCCAGCTCCCCTGTCGCCGGGGGACCCGAAACAAAGGTCATCCACCTGCTGGAGAGGCTCTGACGATGCGGTAACCGAACGAGGAGAGCCGTCTCGCAGGCTTCTCTCTTGAACCTTTACAGCCATTAGGCGCTTGGTAATCGCTATTGCCCAATATATATCCAAGCTTTCATCCAATACCTATGTTCTGGACACCTACATGCCTAATATGAGTAAAAATGGTATATTAAATGAGCTAAAGCTGATAGAACAGTCGAGGGATTTATGTACCAATCAAACAGACCTAAGCCGATGTGGAGGACCGGTGAATGGTGCGGTAGGAGCGGCGCCATCCCCGGGTCCCGAGCTGCCTGGCCAGTTACCTCCCCCCACCCTCCACCCGGCTGTGTTGGCGCCCCTCCACGGCGGGCCGCCGATCAGCAGTGCTGCCGAGACTGGTGCCTCGGTAAACGCACCACTCGGCCAAAGCACGTGACAAGACCGTGCTCCCAGCTCTGGCCCGGGAAGCGCTGTGTATCGTTTGGCAGGGATATCGGCGGTTCCACTAAATCGGCCCGGCACAGACATTGCACTCTGTAGCCGCAATTAGCTCACCTACACCAGTGAAATGTAGTGGTAACATCAAAAGAAATGCATCGCAATGTCGATTTGAGGCTAGGATTTGCAGGCAATGTATATGTGAGTAGGCAGGACTGCCACGCCTGCCAGTACGACCCCGCCGTGCCGCGTCGCAGATGAGCTGGCCAATGGGAAGGTGCGGGGCTCGGACTCGTGTCAGGCCCGTGACCCGTGACCCGTGACCCGTGTTGCAGATGAGCTGGCCGATGGGAAGGTGCGGGGCTCGGACCCGTGTCAGGCCCGTGACCCGTGACCCGTGACCCGTGACCCGTGACCCGTGTTGCAGATGAGCTGACCGATGGAAAGGTGCGGGGCTCGGACCCGTGTCAGGCCAGGTGTCTGGCAAAGGACGCCGAGGCACACCAGACGTCTCCGAAACCGGACGGCGGATACGGGTGGCTCATAGTGTTCGCCTCGTTTTTGGTCAGTGCTTTGCATTTAAGCATTGCTTTATTTTATGGTAACACCTCTCTCTCTCTCTCTCTCTCTCTCTCTCTCTCTCTCTCTCTCTCTCTCTCTCTCTCTCTCTCTCTCTCTCTCTCTCTCTCTCTCTCTCTCTCTCTCTCTCTCTCTCTCTCTCTCTCTCTCTCTCTCTCTCTCTCTCTCTCTCTCTCTCTCTCTCTCTCTCTCTCTCTCTCTCTCTCCCTCTATATATATATATATATATATATATATATATATATATATATATATATATATATATATATATATATATATACATATGTATATATCGTGCTTCTTTATTTCATTATCAATCGTCACCTGTTGAGCTGTGAATGTGCATTGTGCATACTTCAGGCCCACATCAAAGCAGCATAAAACAAAGCTCATTCCTAGCAGCGCATGAGTATGTGTATCGTTTAATGTCAGGTCTAATTTAGTCACCGTGAGTCTGATTTTCAGGCCCATGTCACCATCTACGGCGTTTCGTGGTCGGTCGGAGTGTTTAACATCATTTTCCTAGAAGAATTCCAGCAATCAAAAAGTACGACAGCATGGGTCGGCTCTTCATTAAACGCTCTTATGTACACATCGGGTAAGTTACGTGCGACTAAGTAAGCTGTACCTGTTATAAACTTATAAATATACGACATGTTTTGGTGTCATGTTACTTTTATGTATTTACTGCAATAATTATTTTCTAGGGTTAGTTACATATTACTTATCCCACTCTGACGTTGCTAGACGAGTTCTGTCCTGCGCGCCGAGTCTGAGACTGTCTCCCCCCCTCCCCCCCCCCCCCTCCTTCTCAGGAATCGTCTCGTCGGCACTGGTGCGTCGGCACGGCTGTCGACGGGTGCTGATCGCCGGAGGGCTGCTGGCCGCCGTCGGTATCGCACTGTCGGCGCTGGCCCACCGCCTCTTCGTGCTCTATTTTACCTTCTCGCTGCTCGGAGGTGAGGACAGGCGGTGCGGCGGCCCCCTCTCTGTGCGGCAGGTGACGACGGACCAATCCTGTACATTCACTGGGCTAGTAAGGAGGCAGGCCACGCCGTCCCGATCTGGCGCGAGCCGGGAGCAGCCGAGCCGGCGGTGCCGGAAACGGTGCAGTGCAGTGACTCACAGTGAGGAGTCACCAATCACCTCAATGACCCGTCAAATCAGACAGCCATTACGGGCAGCCGAGCGGTGCCGACGGCCTGCAGGGATCACACAAGGATCACACAGGGATCACACGGGGAGCTGACGGCCCTCCGCCCCACCGTCCCGTATCCCGCCATTCCACCGTCCCCCATCTCCTCACCACGGCCCGGTCCCAGCGCGCCATTCAAAGTCGGCATATCGCTGGGGTGTGTATATCACGTTGCACAATGAGGACACTGTTTAAACCTCGGCGCCTTCTAATGGTCCGATGGAATGGTAGCACAGTCCCTACACGGTGGTAGTCTGATTGTCGTACTCACGCGGCCGTTCCATAGTACTTCAATGAGCAGGCCTGGCCAAAGGGAAGCTAAGCCTATATAGTTAGCAGGACAGGACGGCCGGAAAGTGAGCCGACCGCTGACGCAGCATGGCCCGATCTGACATAGGGAAGAGTGGGGCAAAGCGGCCACCCAGCGGCCACCCTTCGTCTTTAGCCTTGCACAACTGGTGTCAGCTCCAGTTTATGGTTGCCAATTATACTTCTCTTTGCGTTCGCTCGAATGAGCCAGATCGGGGGCTCCGACCCGTCGCCATTTTTCCGGGACAGATGGAATGACATATATATTGTCCCAGCTCATTCTTATCATCCCACTATTTTTACGATTGATTTTAACCCTCGCCCGCACATGGGGGGGGGTGGTTGCCACCCCCCCCCCCAGGTAGTCTTTCTGCTCTGCACTCAACATTTTTAAAGCTAGAAGGCTGATTTTTGGTATAGCTGCTCCTCTATCCTTTCTCAATGTCCACTGAAAATTTCAAGTTTCTGTGATTTTTGGTTTCGGAGATATGACCTTGTTTGTCAGGTCATGTCATGACCCAAATGGCCAATTCTCAACATCTTGCGTTTGCCATGGGCCTTGTGAGCTTTTGACACCTTGATTTCGGCCTTTTTTGCCAGTCTTACCTCCCACCTATCATGGAACATGTTGTTCGACGATGTACAGGGGTCAAGGTCAGGGTCAAGGTCAACCTAGGTCATCTAAGATAATTGCGTTTTAGGCAAGCTGAATTTACTTTTTGTGAAGTTTTTTGACTGCATTTTTGGTAAAAGCTTCTCAGATCATGATTTCATGTAATATGGACACAAAAACAATCGGTGCACACATCAGTATACACACAGACACACACAGACATACAAACACATATAACTGACCTTGACCTAACTTGACCTGAAATGACCTCAGCAGCAAAAATCTGGTCGGGTAGTGTGACAAAGAGGTTCTAGCTGGCTTGGCACCAGAAAACGGCATCGTCATCGGTATATAATAAGCAGCGCACTTGATATCCAACGGTGACCCAAAACAGCAACATTTTTTAGTTTGACCTGACCTGGAAGGTCAATGACTGACCTGAGAAGGTAAAATCGGGTATCATTGGATTCGTCTCTTCCCAAAGAATCTTTTTGGTCTTTACCACTAAGCTCTATCTCCAACAGAAACGAAACGGCGCGGGGGGGTGGCAACCACCCCCCCCCCATGTGCGTTCTAGGATGGGAAAATGGCATGTGCGGGCGAGGGTTAAATGCTTCTTTAAGTGTTTGCATTCCATCATTGAGTAGTTATCGTACATGTTCCATGCCCAGTAGCGGTGAAACACTTTCAATTAGGGGGACACTGCCGACTTTTGGTCCCATTCTTTCCATGCAACGCCCATAGGGCTAATGTTAAAATACCAAAATCAAATGGGGACACGGTGCCCCGGTGCCCTCCCCTTTCCGCCGTCTATGTCTATGCCAATTGCGTTTGCCCCACTAATAACATAACAGAGCGGAAAGATTGTTTGATCTCGGATGGTAAGCACGGGGCAAAGTTGACTGGCCAGAGTGGACAGCTCTCAAAACCAAAAGTTGCTTCAACTTGGACAACAAACGTTATTCTTATCAATATTGAAAAACATCGTCATGCGTTCATCTCGGCCACTTTTCGGTTACATGAGTTACCCAAATAATGCATTTCGTTGTCTTTCCATGAATGTCTTTGCATGGTTTACCCACAGGTGAACGATGACGAAATAAGTATCCATCCTTTTTTAAACTTTTTTACCATCAAAACATTATTACTACAGAAGTAACTAACCTGTGTCTCATTTTGGGGCAAGGAAGTCACCGGTGGTCGTTTTTCCCCGGGGTCCGGGGCAAAGTGGCCAAAATGCATAGGTAGGTTTAAAACTTTGCCAATATCTGATCTCCTATATGTGAATGCCTTTAGAAATGGCACAAAGTTGAAATAAAAGACAATTTTAATAGGGATCATATTTTTATAGAAAGAGACTTTCCAAGTTTAAAAATCAAGTGTCGGCACTCGGCATCGTGAGCAGCGTTAAGGTGGCCGCTTTGCCTTGGTCTCCCCCATCATCTCGGTGACTCCGGGCGGACCGCCGGCAGTGAGCGACTGGGTAATTGACGTCACTGGGACATGCATCGCATATAGATCGAACGCGGGCCCACATATTGCTAAGTCATTGAAAATCACTTTTATAATGCATACATGTATAAATGATATTTTCGGCTATTGCCATTAGGCATCGCTGGCAGCCTCGCCGAGGGCGGTCTGCAGGCTGAACATCTGTTGTATATCTGGTTAGAACTGACGCTTCCGACCAAGGACGGGCGGGGCTGGCCGGCCCGGTCTGTTCCGCCCGCTCGGCTGCCGTGTTCCGCCCGCTCGGCTGCAGTGTTCCGCCCGCTCGGCTGCCGTGTTCCGCCCGCTCGGCTGCAGTGTTCCGCCCGCTCGGCTGCCGTGTTCCGCCCGCTCGTCGCCGTGTTCCGCGCCGCGCCGGACCAGGGCCCGTATTCACGTCGGAATTTTTCGTAAGATTTATCTTACGATCGCTCTTTGTCGTACGATAATTTGGTATTCACGTTGGCATCGCAAACAGTTAAGATTTATCTTACGATCAAAATTTTGGTCGTAGACATTTGTCGTACGATCGATCGTAAGTGCGATTCACGTCGGGACATCTTAAGTCGAATCTTAAGATGATCGTAAGACCTTAATGATGAAGGTATTGGGAAGATACGACTACTCACTGAGCTGTCGTAAGACGTCACCTATGCTTATGAATTGTATATTTAGGTATTGAAATTGTTGTTTATGATTTTTTTTCTTGCCAGCGAGCGTGAAAAAGAGTTTTCAATGTAACGGGAAAATATCAGTATGAGCGGTACAGCTCGGACCGGCCCGCCCTATAACGCTTTTGAGAAGCTTTTATCTCGGCCACCGCCGCGCTGGGCCGATTGAACCGCGGTCATTTTTGTTTGGTAGCCCCATCCCTCCTACCTCGTAATTGACTACTCTTGATGCACCTGGGTGATCGCCGTGTCATGTGGCTCTTGCGAAGCCAAGGGTGTCAACTCAGAACCCAAAGTCGTTCTGCTGAATTTACGTTTTTGAGAGGATTATGTCTGTGTAAGCACAGGATCGATTTACTAGGAAATGTGTTTGTAGGGTATTTTCAACCATTTTGCCGAGGACACGACTTTTCTCGATGCATGTGGGTGACCAACCATGGCTGCACGTGCCACGTGCATAATAAAGAGATGTCATGTTTGTATCAATTACAATAACTATGTAATTATCGTGCCCATTGCGCTGAAACTTGGCATGTGGGTAGGCACTCATCGGGCAATGCATTTTCATGTGTCACGTTAGGGGTACTACTGCACGTGCGCACGTGCAGTGGTCACTGGTCGCTCCTAGATCTCGGGAACGGCTGGACCAATTGCGCTCAAAATTGGCACACCGGTAGGGACCGCTTAGTAGCGTGCCGGGCAAAAGTCGTTTGGGACCCCGTCTGCACGTGCGCACGTGCAGGAGGCCGCTTCCATACATAGAAAACGGCGAGGCCGATTGCGCCCAAATTTGGTACACCTTTAGGAACCGCTTAAGAGGGTGCCGAGCAAATGTCAGTTGTGACTCCGGTTGCACGTGCGCGCGTGCAGCAGGCCGCTTCCGGGTCTCGAGGACGGCTAGGCCGATTGCGCTTAAAGTTGGTAGGGGAAGGAGGGTGAATTGCGCCACCTTAAGGAAAAACGCCAATTGTAAGAAAATTGCTGGAGATATAAGCATGCACTGGTAACCATTTCAAAGAGGAACTCATTGGCTACGATTTAAGAGCCTCTCGATCAATTAAGGATGTTTCGGTTGCTTCTGACAGCTGTTTTTCAGAAACATACAAAAGGGCGCATTTGCCAACAACTGCTGTAAATTGCGTCAGGGGGATGGCGCAATTGGAACCCAATTGCGCCCTATACTTTAACATGGCTAAGCGAATGAGACGGAATGCATACGCCCCGGCAGTCTAATGTCATTTCGGCTTACTTAAACATTTATAATGTTATTCAGGCTGGCTAATTAATAAATGTAGATATAAATCGCGATGTTTTTTTGCCAAGGTAGATAACATTACATGTGTTCGTACGCTTGTAAAAGTGCAACGAAAACGTTTACTGTAACCGACTAGATATATGTGAACGTATGCGCCTATACGGTTAAATTTTCAATCGTTTCTCTCAAAATTATAATTTTTTATCGTTTCGACAACTTTATGACATCACTTTTTACTTTTTTATCATAGCTGTCACCTCTCACGACTGAGTCCATGTTGAAAATGTCGTATTTTGTCAATTACACCACAAGTTCGTAGCCTAAATGGCAGCTGCATTATAAGTTTGACGAGAGAAATAATTTGCGAACTGACGACAGCGGTTTGCTCCCCTGTCTGACATTTAACTCCTCCTTTATTGCAATCAGTTAATGATGCATTCATACTGTCGTGATACAATAGCTACACCATTATTCTATTTGCGCCCCCCTGGCGCAATTGCCATGGTCGCAATTAAAATTGAGGTACTTTTTAATAAAAGCGTAGATGTTATCATAAAGATGTTGAAGGAAGTTTACCGTTTCAGTGAAATATAATGAAAAAAGGGCTTTACTTTCTAAATATCACTCTGAAAATCACACAAATATTGCAGATTTTTATAGCCAACGGTTCCAAATACTGCAAAAAAGCTAAGAAAACGCCGCAACATCTTTGATGGCGTCATGAGTCTTGCTGATTGGCTTCATCGGAGAGCTTGGGCCATAAAATGAACTATCCAGTGGTGAAAATAATGTTTTCGAACCCAAAATTCTAAACATGCCATTGAATCCGTGGGAATGTTGGTGGGCGCAATTGGTTAGGAGGGCGCAATACACCCACTTTCCCCTACGCCTTTAGGAATCGCTCAGGAGCTTGTCGAGCAAAAGTCAATTGTGACCTTGTTCGCACTTCACACGTGCGCACGCGCAAGAGGCCGCTTCCGGATCTCGAGAACGGCTGGGCCGATTGCGCTTAAATTTGGTACACCTTTAGGAATCGCTTAGGAGGGTGCCGAGCAAAAGTCAATTGTGACGCAATTGGCACGTGCGCACGCGCAAAATTGCACACGCGCTCAAATTTGGTGCACCATTAGGGACCGACTAGTAGGGTGGTTCGTGCTTAAAAGGACCCTCCCACCTTCAAAAAAGTTAATGAATTGGCATAGAAGTAGTGTTGCATGGTACCTAGAGATTGAGCAAAAATGAATATCTACCAAATTTCATTGAAAAATATTAAAGGAAATAGCTCACTTTTAACATGGGGTTTTGAACTGGAATAGCAGTTTCGAATATCAGGTCAAAGTAAAAATTATCGACATTTTTGCTAGTTCACAAGTTAGGCTCTGACCGCCGGACCGCCAGTCTGATCAGGCTCATTTTTGGTTTACGCACTCCTTGATGGATGCCTTAGATACCCTGAGGGTACCGAACTTTTACTTCGAATTTTTAAGGTCAAGGCCAGGCCATCCTAGGTCACGAAAATTGTATATCATGTATCGGTCACGTGACGCATGTTTTATGGTCCATTTTACTCGTAGATTTCGAAAATAGTGTCGTCTGTGTCACTTGAGGTCATTGGCAGCTGAATTTACCGGAGGTCAGGTCACTTTCAGGTCAGAAAAGGTCAAATTTTGAAAATGAAATTTTTCAACAAAAAAGTGCGTATCAGATGCAGTTTGAGCTCAAGAACACGATGGTGCCATTTATATTGCTGTAAGACGTCAAAAACGTACTGAAAAATGGATTTGAAAAAACTTAACATTGTAAAATTTTGACAATAATGCGAATAACTTGGCTATTTTTGAAGACATTGGGCTAAAACTTGCAAATGTAGTTCATCAGTGTGTGTTCTATCACATATACATATTCCGGTTTTTGCGAAAAGTCAAAAACTTTTTGAAAAAATAAAAAAATATATTTTTGTAATTGTAAATACATATTTTTCAAAATTTTCAAAATTTCGAAAATTTGAGATAGCAGTTTGATAGCTACGTGTATTTGTAGTTCACTCATGCAAAGAAAATGGATCTAGCTCTAAAACTGAGCTCTTGAGAGCGTTTGCCGTAATTCAGTATTTTGCATGAAAATCGGCCGACATGACGTCACTCTGACGTCATTTCCGGCCAAACTATGGTAGCTAGAAAAGTGAAATTTTAACACAAGGTGTCAAATTGATGCCTCTGAAGGTACCGCAAGTTTCGTGTTGATCCGTCAAACGGTTTAGAAAATATTGCTGAAAAACGGGAGGGGGGCTCTGTAGAGCCCCCCCCAGTCATGCGCGGATTAAGCATTTAGACCAGGTCGGGTCAGGTCAGGTCAGGTCAACCGGTAGCGGTCGTGACGGGTATTAGTAGTACCTGTCATCCGCCTCTGACAGCTTCGTAACATATTACGAAGGCACCAAAACTACTTCGTAAATGTTCAAATGGTTGCTAAATTCGAATTCAGCTCCAAAAACTAGCCTAGGAACATGTAAAACTCGAACAAGTGAACCGAGGTCACCAACGGTCAATGACCTGACCTGACCTTTAGGTGACCTTGACACCCACCCTAATGCATGGGAGCAACCTCAAATCACATGTTTGAACGTTTGAAACCACGAAAAGCTTGCAAACGCGCGGCTAATGCGAGCCGACATACGCCGAATCGCGATTCCGGCCAAACATGGTCTCGGAAAAGAAGTCACAGGACAGGTCATTTGGGTCAGGGTCATGAAATTTTCACGGTAGGTGTACAATTGATCAATGCGAGGGTACTGAAAGTTTCGTCGCGATCGGCCGCTTTTTACGCGAGTTATTCCCGAAAAACCTTATGGGGGTTGCATCAACCCTGTGCCGGCGAGGGTTAAAATGCATGTTTTATCGATTTATTCTTCATATGATCATTTCATTATATAATAATTTAGTTTCCATAATACCTAATGGTAAAATAATTTCCATATTAAATTTCAAACATACTAAATCTGTGGTACTTTTATAATGTTAAGAATAGCTCACTAATAAATGTTTGAATATATTTCGTTTGCTGTATCATTTGGCGGAGGATCCATTTTCTATGTCGTCCCGGAATATGTTGCTAAAAATCAAATCTTCGGAACTGCTACGACATCTTAAGTTGGGTCGTACGATGAATCCTAGAACTTTTGACATGAATACCAAAATATCTTAAGATTGTCAACGTGAATTTGAAGTATCCTAAATATCCAGACTGATCGTACGATAAAAAGTTAAGATGGTCAACATGAATACCAAATCGATCGTACGATGAAAATTGATCGTAAGATGTCGACGTGAATACGGGCCCCGGTCGGAACCGGCTGGCGCGCCGGCCGCTCCCAATCGGCCCTGATGGGCGCCTTCCGGGCCGAGCGGCCGCCGGTGGGCCGCAGTTATTCAATCCCGCGCCGGCCGGAGCACCGCAGCCGGATGGAGCGGGATCGTTCTGGAGAGCGACGGTCTCCCTGCGACTGACTCATCCAGCGGGACACTCAGCTGGAATCGAACGGAATTCACCCATCGGAGTCTGAAAGCTGCAGATAATCATTGTTACCAGCTCGGGAATATGAATTTAACCTACTCGTTAGCTCGAAAGTACACGCACTGCTCGCTTACGTAACATGCCTGACTTATAAAGTCGTTCTGCCCGGATTCATACAGGAAACCAGGATTCCAGACTTAGCTGTGCGAGCCCGGCGAATGTATGTGACCCTCTGTTGACTGAGCATGTTGCCCCAGTGCATGTGCTGCCCCTCTGTTGACTGATGTCTGGTCACTGTTCTGCAGGCGTCGGTCTCGGTCTCGCCTACATCCCGGCCGTGGTGATCGTCAGCGAGTATTTCGAGCAGCGGCGCACCATCGCGCTCGGCCTGGCCGTCTCGGGTGTCGGCCTCGGCGGCTTCGTCTTCCCGCCCGTCATCAGGTGAGCGTCAGCAGCCGCTGGGCGTCATCAGGTGAGCGTCATCAGGTGAATTTTAGCAAGTCATCAGTGAACTTCATCAGGAACTTTTGCGACTGCCATTCTTTGTACGGTACTGTTTAGAAGCGAAACAATTCACTTAACGTCGCACCTACAGTTTTGATACACGAAATGCGCCCAGTCCAGGTAGGAGCGCACTTATACATGCAAGGTCCAGTAACTTTAAAATCGCTCGAATTCGGGCCAATGTTAATCAGTCATACCTCATGGCTATGAACGGTCAAGATGGTAAACCATCGCATAGGCCCTAAACTTCCCTACGTGACCTGAAGCAGATATACCTAGGGATCTATCGGATTCTTTTGTTTAGACAGCTGAACAGATCGACTTTCAATTAGACCACAGCAAACGCAGAACTCTTCTCCAGGTATATTGGAATGGAATAAGAGCCTCCCTCGACTCTGTCAATGCACGCTGAGCCCGATGTAACTGCGTCGTTGCGATGTTGCTGCAATGTGGGTCGGCGTGCCCGCCGGCCCGGCGGTCAGGCCGGACCGGACCGGGCCGGGCTGCTTTCTGATCAGTGCCCGGACAACCAGGCCACGTACACCGGTGACCTGGGACGCCCCACCCGTGGCTTGCGCGGCGGCCAGCGCGCCGGTAAACAGCGCGTGCTCGACTGACCTATGGAGCCTCGGTCAGGAATCGGCCCCGACCACCGTCACAGCCCAGCGTCTGACCGACGACCTGTGTTTACAGACGGACCAGTAGGGCGCCGCCAATCGAACCCCGTGACATTGCAGGCCAGCAAATGCATTTAACAATACTTATTTAAATTTATAGCAGATGCCAGATGGGCTTAGATTTAAGAAGCAGATGTTATGAGTTATGAGCGAAAATCAAACCGACGCATATGTAAAACTGTTATTAGCGTTAGTGCGGACCCGTCTGTTCCGGCCACACAGCAATGTCCGCCCCGCTGCCCGCCACGCTATCCGCAGGGCGCTGATGGAGGTGCACTCGTGGAGGGTGGTGCTGCTGATCATCGCCAGCATCGTCTTCAGCTGCCTGACCGTCTGCGGCGCGCTGATGAGGCCGCACGGACCGCCCGACCGCACCACCGGTGAGGCGGTGCCGCGCGCTCCCTACACGCGAACATGTTATACAGTAACTACCGAGACGGTGCTTATTTATTAGTTTTCTTTTTGAGTTTTTTTATTTATCTCGTCCCCTCATTTATCGTCGATAGAGCAACGGCCTAACGTAATCTGGCATGTACCAGAAGGTTAGCTCACGCACTTGACCTGACCTGACCGGTTACAGTGGACTTCCTTTCAGCCCTATAATATTATCTGACCTAGCCTAACCTGACCCGTCTCAATAGGCTTCCAGCACTACCATAGTTTAACCTGACCTGATTTGTCACAGTCGACAATCGGTCAGGACTGACATGACCTGACCTATGAAAATCCAGTCGGCTATCTCACTGACATGACCTAACCTGACCTGACCGGACCCGTCCCATGGGCTCATCCTCAGACCTGACCTGTCACAGTAACTATTTGACATGATCTGTCACAGGTGGATATCAGCCTGACCTGACCTGTCACACTAGGCTACCTGTCAGCGCTAGCATGGTTTGACCTGACCTGACCTGACATGTCGCAGTCGACTAGCGATCTGACCTGACCTGACATGTCACAGTCAACTAGCGCTCCGACTTGAGCTGACCTGTCAAAGTCGGTCATAGGTCTGACCTAGCCTGACCCGGCCTGTCGCTGTTGGCTATCAGTCTGACCTGACCTGACCTGTCACAGTCGGATGCGTGTATGACCTGACCTGAGCTGACCTGAGCTGACCTGTCGCAGTTGGCTACCTGGCCGAGCTCCGGGAGAATATCGGCATCATGAAGTCTGTGCCGTTTGTAACGCTGTGCTTCAACAACCTGCTCTACTGTTTCGGCCTGGTGATAGTGTACGTGCATCTGGGCGGGCTGGCGCTCTCCTCGGGCCTCTTCAGCAAGGCCAACTCGGGGCTCATCTTCTCCATCGTCGGCGTGTCCAACCTGGTGAGTCTGCTGCCGTCCCGGAGGAGCCGGGTCCCTCTCTCCCAGTCGGGTACGGCCCGGTCCCTTCTCGCCCTCACTGGGTGCTGGGATAGACCTATGGACGGTCCTTTCTCTATTGCTCTCACTGGGAACTGACCGTACCTGTCTCGCCCTCACTGGGTACACACCGGTCACCGGTCCTTTCTGACTACCCACTGACTGGTGACCGATCCTTTGTCGCCCTCACTGGGGCAATGACCGGTCCTTTCTCGCCCCCCGCTCAGTGCTGGGACGGACACAGTCGTTATGGTGGGCTGGTGTACTGGACAGCGGGCAGTGTGCTGACCGGTCCTCTGCTGTTCTCAGGTGGGCCGGGTCCTGCACGGCGTGGTGTGCCACTTCCCCCGGATGACCACCATCCTGGTGTACATGATCTCCAGCGTGGGCTCCGGCCTGGCCACCGTCCTGATGCCCATCTCCAGCAGCGTCACAGGTCAGTCCGCCCAGCAGTCGGCGGCCACTGGCCATCGGATCCGCGCCAAGCAGCGTCACAGGTCAGTCCGCCCTGCAGTCGCCGCGGCCACTGGCCACCGTCCTGATGCCCATCTCCAGCAGCGTCACAGGTCAGTCCGCCCAGCAGTCGGCGCGGCCACTGGCCATCGGATCGGTGCCACAGACGGCTGAGCGCCACGCTGGGCACCGCACATCGACCAGGCTGCCAATACATATACCACAAATTTGTTGAAAGCAACAGGTAGGTATGCTGTGTGTGACGACGTTCCATGTAAACTGGGCAGCCGCCCATCACCCCGTTATTATCCCGTACGTCGGCCGCTCAGTCCACGGCCCCTCACGCGGTGCCGCCCCTGTCCCTCCTGGGCTGCTACACCCGGCCCCTCACGCGGTGCCGCCCCTGTCCCCAGCGCTGGCCGTGTGCGCGTGCGTGTTCGGCTTCTGCAGCTCGTGTCTGGGCGCGCTGCTGCCGGACATCATCATCCGTCTGGTGGGCGACCATCGGCTGGGCACCGGCTACGGCCTGCTGCTGCTCTTCGAGGGCGCCGGCTCCATGCTCGGAGGACCCGTGGCCGGTAGGGCAGTGTGGGGGGAGGCCCGTGGCCGGTAGGGCAGTGTAGGGGGGAGGCCCGTGGCCGGTAGGGCAGTGTAGGGGGAGGCCCGTGGCCGGTAGGGCAGTGTAGGGGGGAGGACCCGTGGCCGGTAGGGCAGTGTGGGGGGAGGCCCGTGGCCGGTAGGGCAGTGTAGGGGGGAGGCCCGTGGCCGGTAGGGCAGTGTAGGGGGAGGACCCGTGGCCGGAAGGGCAGTGTGTGGGGGGGGAGGCCCGTGGCCGGTAGGGCAGTGTGAGGGGAGGCCCGTGGCCGGCAGGGCAGTGTGGGGGGGGGGACCGTGGCCGGTAGGGCAGTGTGGGGGAGGACCCGTTGCCGGTAGGGCAGTGTGGGGGGGGGGGCCGTGGCCGGTAGGGGGCAGTGTAGGGGGTGGTGGTAGGGCGGTGGGTGCTTCAAGGGTCACAACTCACAGTGGATAGTATAGGTATTGAATTGTGTGCTGTTCCCAGGCGCTGGTGTACTGGAGATCGGGGAATGCAATTGTGCACTAGCACATTGCAACGCACGTTTAATGGGTGTCATTCAGACAGCTGTTAGGATCGGCTGCTGGGGAGACCTCTGACCCCTCGGCCCGCGCTCGCCGCCAGGGATGCTGTTTGACTACATGCTGGTGTACGACTACAGCTTCTACCTGTCCGGGGCGCTGCTGCTGGCCGCCGGACTGGTCATGGTGGTGCCCTGGCGGTACACGCACTCTTGGCGGCGCGCCGAGAGTCTGTACCGGCCGGCAGGCAGCGCCGACACTGACAGTCCCCAGCGACGGGCGCGCCGAAAGGACGCCGAGGCCGGACGACAGGGTCCCTCCGCGGGCCCCTGCACCAGCCGACAGGGTTCCTCGGCGGGCCCCTCCACCAGCCGACAGGGCCCCTCCACCAGCCGACAGGGCCCCTCCACCAGCCGACAGGGCCCCTCGGCGGGCCCCTCCACCAGCCGACACGGCCCCTCCGCGGGCCCCTCCACCAGCCGAGAGGGCCCCTCCACCAGCCGAGAGGGCCCCTCCACCAGCCGAGAGGGCCCCTCCACCAGCAGACAGGGCCCCTCCACCAGCCGAGAGGGCCCCTCCCACTGTCAGCCGCCAGAGGACGCAGAGGCAGATCAGGGTGTGTAATGGCCGGTACTGCTGGCCGCGGACACGGGGAGGGGCGGAGGGCGCCCTCTGCCGGACCGCCCGTACCCGTCTGGACAGGCTCAGTGTGAAAGGAACGCCGCCAGCGCCATTCGCGGCCGGTCGCTGACCACTGGACGGTGGATAAAGAGAGGGGGAGTTGAGTCGCTGTGCCGGCCGGACTGGCCTCTGGCGGTCCGCGGCACAGGGGACCCAGTCGGCCCGGTCGCGGCCCACTGATAGCCCACCAGTGCCGGTCCTCCGTGCCGGTGGCTGCCGTCACGGGCGGGGACACAGGCGTCCGGCTACTCAGTGCCTATTGTACACAGCTCACGGTGTTTTGTGCCCAGCTCACGGTGCAGTGTGCACGGCTCATGGTGTTTTATGCCCAGCTCACGGTGTAGTGTGCACGGCTCACGGTGTAGTGTGCCCAGCTCACGGTGTAGTGTGCCCAGCTCACGGTGTAGTGTGCACGGCTCATGGTGTAGTGTGCACGGCTCACGGTGTAGTGTGCACGGCACACGGTGTAGTGTGCCCAGCTCACGGTGCAGTGTGCACGGCTCATGGTGTAGTGTGCCCAGCTCACGGTGTTTTGTGCCCAGCTCACGGTGTAGTGTGCCCAGCTCACGGTGTTTTGTGCCCAGCTCACGGTGTAGTGTGCACGGCTCATGGTGTAGTGTGCACGGCTCATGGTGCACAGCTCAGAGTGCCCGAGTCTCAGTGGCTGACGTAATCTGTGTGTAGCGAGGCCAGCAGTCGGGAACAGAGAGTGGCGGCGGCGCGACTGTCGCATTGCCTTGGAGAGGGAAGCGCTCGATGGCCCAGCTCACGCCTGCGTTATCAATATCGCCTCACATCGACAGCGTAGAGCCGAGTGTGTATAGGCACTGCATAGTGTATGCGTACATGTTACCGGAGAAGTGACCGGTATAATGCGTGTGAGACGACTACCGTAAGAGAGCCGCTACCGTTTGATATTATTATGCTGGCCGTGATGCGTCCTAATGGTTCTAGTTGACAGTCTGTATTTTTGTAAAATGTATGACTGGGAGGTTCATGCTGGCTGATACGGCCGCACTCGGTCCAATAATGCGGCTTCTGTTCGGAAATGTCGCAGCAGCCCGGCTCTGCCGACTTTCCCGCCACTGGTATGTCCGTCTGTGTGTGGTGTGTGTGTGTGTGAACGTCTGGTCTGAGACCGGTGGTGCTGACATGTAATGCTCGAGTACGACCTTTCCTGTCCTGGTTCAACAGAGCTCGGCGACGTACAGCACACGCACGTCCAAAGCTAACAGTCAAATAAGACGGTAGGTCCCCAAGCCCTTCATTGACGAAACTGTGAGTTATGAGCACCTACATCACATGGCGCACGCACAGTATGGCTGCTCCCTCCCCAGTTCGTCCGATCGCTCCTCCGTGAGGTTTGAGCCGCGCCCGTGAACCCGCAGCGGGATGGGACGGCAGTCCCTCCCCCTCCTACTCAGTGATGGGCCTCCGGGAGGTTGGTAGCGCACGTCCATGACCAAGGTATCTAGCCAGCGTCTCGCTTTCAGCTCATTCCCAGATAACAAGGGCCTCTGTGAGGTGAAAAGCACGTTCGAGGCCAACATAAGAATGAAACAGAATGAAACTCGCTCTCGCTCTCGCTCTCGCTCTCTCTCTCTCTCTCTCTCTCTCTCTCTCTCTCTCTCTCTCTCTCTCTCTCTCTCTCTCTGTCTCTCTGTCTCTCTGTCTCTCTGTCTCTCTGTCTCTCTGTCTCTCTGTCTCTCTGTCTCTCTGTCTCTCTGTCTCTCTGTCTCTCTGTCTCTCTGTCTCTCTGTCTCTCTGTCTCTCTGTCTCTCTGTCTCTCTGTCTCTCTGTCTCTCTGTCTCTCTGTCTCTCTGTCTCTCTGTCTCTCTGTCTCTCTGTCTCTCTGTCTCTCTGTCTCTCTGTCTCTCTGTCTCTCTGTCTCTCTGTCTCTCTGTCTCTCTGTCTCTCTGTCTCTCTGTCTCTCTGTCTCTCTGTCTCTCTGTCTCTCTGTCTCTCTGTCTCTCTGTCTCTGTCTCTCTGTCTCTCTGTCTCTCTGTCTCTCTGTCTCTCTGTCTCTCTGTCTCTCTGTCTCTCTGTCTCTCTGTCTCTCTGTCTCTCTGTCTCTCTGTCTCTCTGTCTCTCTGTCTCTCTGTCTCTCTGTCTCTCTGTCTCTCTGTCTCTCTGTCTCTCTGTCTCTCTGTCTCTCTGTCTCTCTGTCTCTCTGTCTCTCTGTCTCTCTGTCTCTCTGTCTCTCTGTCTCTCTGTCTCTCTGTCTCTCTGTCTCTCTGTCTCTCTGTCTCTCTGTCTCTCTGTCTCTCTGTCTCTCTGTCTCTCTGTCTCTCTGTCTCTCTGTCTCTCTGTCTCTCTGTCTCTCTGTCTCTCTGTCTCTGTCTCTCTCTCTCTCTCTCTCTCTCTCTCTCTCTCTCTCTCTCTCTCTCTCTCTCTCTCTCTCTCTCTCTCTCTCTCTCTCTCTCTCTCTCTCTCTCCACCGCCCGTCCAGTCTGGCGGTCCTCTGTTCTAGCAGCTGCTCTGATGAAGCTACTGCTGGCCCCCCGGTCCGCCACACATCGCTGTTCGCGTAAAGCAGTGCCGTGGATCTGTGCACTGTCCGACCCCATCAGATGTCCCCAGTCCAGCCGAGCTGGAACCGAGCAGAGCATGTCTGCGACGGTGCGGCTCGAGTTGCGGACCTTCCCGACTGGGCCCGGGAGCTGCAGACCCTACCGGCTGACCCGGGCGCCGTATCATGTCACGTGTGTGCGTCGCGGAATCTGCTGACGCCAGCAGACTCGTGGGTGAGCGCTCACAGCAGTGAAGACGGGCCGAAAATAAATATTAACCAGCACGTCTCGTACCATCCCCACCGTGTGGACTAGCCTGGGTGAGATACGTCGCGGCGGAGACTCCAGCTACCACAAACGGCACAGAGCGGCGGCCGCAGCCCGTTCGACAGCCAGAGTTTCGCCAGTTTTTTTTTTCCGCCAGTGGACGCCGCGGACCGCGCCTCCTGGCACCCGCCCGGCCACTGGCCACCGAGCCGCCGCGTCTGCCCCCGAGAGTACAGCACGCCCCCACACGGCGCCAGGCATCAGATAGAGCTATATTCAGGAGGCTGCGGCAATAAACACGGTAATTACAGATCACAGTCGGCGGGTGTGCGGTCCACCCAGCGCAGTGGGTCGCCACGGGGCCAGCCGGGCTGCTCGGCGCAGCGGGTAGCCACAGAGTCGCGACCCAGCCCTGGGAATTTGTGTGGCCGGACGGCTCGCCCTCAGGGCCAGTGGTGGCAGTGGTACGGACAGGCCCCGCGGTGGAACTGGACGCACCCGTGGCCAGCACCACACATCAGTAACGCCGGCAGATACCGGCAGATACACGGTCAGATATCAGTCAGCAGTCAGCAGACACGGTCAGCAGATACTGCTAGATAAGGGTCGACTGGTAGTGGTCAGATCCTCAGCACTAGCAGACATATCCCAGCAGACACCCAGCAGACATACCCTAGCAGCGACACCCAGCAGACGTGCCCCAGCAGAATCACCCAGCAGACATGCCCCAGCAGAGATATCCCAGCACAGACATATCCGAGCAGGCATACCCCAGCAGGCATATCCCAGCAGCAGACACCAGTCGGTGGTCGAGCAGCTACAAGCGGGGGGTGGCCCACCTGTCAGCCGCTAAGCCCTGGGTGGACACCACAGACTCGGTCCCGGCGTATTGGGCCCCGTCCCGTCAGTGGCTAAACCCCGGGCGGGCAGCGGAGACTCGGTCCCGGCGTATTGGGCCCCGTCACGTCAGTGGCTAAACCCCGGGCGGGCAGTAGAGACTCGGCCCTGTTTGTGGCTGAGTTCCGGGCGGGCAATAGACGTCCTCCAGAGTGCTCAGACATCCCGCCCCGTCCCTGGCACAGTCCCCAGTAACAATATCCCACAGAGTACTACAGCGAGTCCCCGTTCACAGCAGCAGCGGCGTCGAGCCGTCTCACAACTGGATGTTCTGCGTGAAGTCGTACTCGATGGTCGGAATGATTGCCTGCATGAACTTGAGGAAGACGATGAGGTACTTCTGGACGGGAATTTGACGTCCGCCCTCCTCGGCCGTCTCCACCAGCTTTTTCATGGTGTCAGCGTGCCTGGCGGACACACATCGCGCCAGTCATCTGACAGTCATACAGCGACCATCGCTGGTTCGGGCGACCACAGACTATTACAGGAACTCACCAAACACTCAGTGACAACAGCGTCCACTCTTTAGATGACCAGTAACACTACCAGAAACCAGCAAACACCAACTGCAGAGAGTAGAGTAGATACTCTCGTATGTAAATATACGACTTAACTACGGCATCCGTCGCGCAGCCGTTCTTCCACCCACGCTGCCATACGGCCGACGCTGAGCGCGCGCCAAGACGGACCCGCTGCGGCCGCTGCGGCCCGCGATGTGTGACTCACTTGCACGGGTGGATGGAGGCCTGCGGCGGTCCGGCCAGGTGCGGGTGCGTCTCCATCGTAATTGTCTTGTTGGCGTGGTCCTGACTGAAGTCCTCGTACATCTGGTCCACCGACAGCGGCTGGCGGCTCTGCAACCCGCCCCCGCCCCGGTCAGACGCAGCACGACAGCGGTCTCATCAGCATACGCCGCTCGCGGCCCGTAAAAGGGACCTCCCGCCTTCAAAAAAGTTTATGAATTGACATAAAAATGATGTACCGTGGTTCAGAAACAGCGAAACTGAATATTTACTAAATTTGACCGACACATATTTACCTTTTCAGACATAGGACACATATTTGTCTTTTATCAATAATCAAGGTTTTAGTATAAGATTGAAAAACTGCTATATCTGAGTTGACGTCACAAAGTCTAGGCGGGCATTTAGATGGCCCTTAGAATCTGAAAAGTGCGGACTTCGAAATTAAATAGTTCCGATTTAAGGCCTTTCTCGATAATGTCGACTCAGTCGAGTGCCCAAACTGGAAATTGCAAGCCAGGGACTCCAATTTGACTATCTCAACTCAAAACTAATGTTGAGGTGGGATGGCCACTTTAAACGCCGCCCGAGGTCCGTCCCTACAGCAGACTCCGACCCGAGGTCCGCCCCGACAGCAGACTCCACCCCGAGGTCCGTCCCGACAGCAGACTCCACCCCGAGGTCCGTCCCGCCAGCAGACTCCACCCCGAGGTCCGTCCCTACAGCAGACACCACCCCTAGGTCCGTCCCGACAGCAGACACCGACCCGAGGTCCGCCCCGACAGCAGACACCACCCCGAGGTCCGTCCCTACAGCAGACACCACCCCGAGTTCCGTCCCTACAGCAGACACCACCCCGAGGTCCGTCCCGACAGCAGACACCGACCCGAGGTCCACCCCGACAGCAGACACCACCCCGAGGTCCGTCCCTACAGCAGACACCAACCCGAGTTCCGTCCCTACAGCAGACACCACCCCGAGGTCCGTCCCGACAGCAGACTCCACCCCGAGGTCCGTCCCTTCAGCAGACTCCGACCCGAGGTCCGTCCCTACAGCAGACTCCGACCCGAGGTCCGTCCCGACAGCAGACACCGCCCCAAGGTCCGTCCCGACAGCAGACACCACCCCGAGGTCCGTCCCGACAGCAGACTCCACCCCGAGGTCCGTCCCTACAGCAGACACCACCCCGAGGTCCGTCCCTACAGCAGACACCACCCCGAGGTCCGTCCCTTCAGCAGACTCCGACCCGAGGTCCGTCCCTACAGCAGACACCACCCCGAGGTCCGTCCCGACAGCAGACTCCACCCCGAGGTCCGTCCCTTCAGCAGACTCCGACCCGAGGTCCGTCCCTACAGCAGACTCCACCCCGAGGTCCGTCCCTACAGCAGACTCCACCCCGAGGTCCGTCCCGACAGCAGACACCACCCCGAGGTCCGTCCCGACAGCAGACTCCGACCCGAGGTCCGTCCCTACAGCAGACACCACCCCGAGTTCCGTCCCTACAGCAGACACCACCCCGAGGTCCGTCCCGACAGCAGACACCGACCCGAGGTCCACCCCGACAGCAGACACCACCCCGAGGTCCGTCCCTACAGCAGACACCACCCCTAGGTCCGTCCCGACAGCAGACACCGACCCGAGGTCCGCCCCGACAGCAGACACCACCCCGAGGTCCGTCCCTACAGCAGACACCACCCCGAGTTCCGTCCCTACAGCAGACACCACCCCGAGGTCCGTCCCGACAGCAGACACCGACCCGAGGTCCACCCCGACAGCAGACACCACCCCGAGGTCCGTCCCTACAGCAGACACCACCCCGAGTTCCGTCCCTACAGCAGACACCACCCCGAGGTCCGTCCCGACAGCAGACTCCACCCCGAGGTCCGTCCCTTCAGCAGACTCCGACCCGAGGTCCGTCCCTACAGCAGACTCCGACCCGAGGTCCGTCCCGACAGCAGACACCGCCCCAAGGTCCGTCCCGACAGCAGACACCACCCCGAGGTCCGTCCCGACAGCAGACTCCACCCCGAGGTCCGTCCCTACAGCAGACACCACCCCGAGGTCCGTCCCTACAGCAGACACCACCCCGAGGTCCGTCCCTTCAGCAGACTCCGACCCGAGGTCCGTCCCTACAGCAGACACCACCCCGAGGTCCGTCCCGACAGCAGACTCCACCCCGAGGTCCGTCCCGACAGCAGACACCGACCCGAGGTCCACCCCGACAGCAGACACCACCCCGAGGTCCGTCCCTACAGCAGACACCACCCCGAGTTCCGTCCCTACAGCAGACACCACCCCGAGGTCCGTCCCGACAGCAGACTCCACCCCGAGGTCCGTCCCTTCAGCAGACTCCGACCCGAGGTCCGTCCCGACAGCAGACTCCACCCCGAGGTCCGTCCCGACAGCAGACCCCACCCCGAGGTCCGTCCCTACAGCAGACTCCGACCCGAGGTCCGTCCCTACAGCAGACTCCGACCCGAGGTCCGTCCCGACAGCAGACACCGCCCCAAGGTCCGTCCCGACAGCAGACACCACCCCGAGGTCCGTCCCGACAGCAGACACCACCCCGAGGTCCGTCCCTACAGCAGACACCACCCCTAGGTCCGTCCCGACAGCAGACACCGACCCGAGGTCCGCCCCGACAGCAGACACCACCCCGAGGTCCGTCCCTACAGCAGACACCACCCCGAGTTCCGTCCCTACAGCAGACACCACCCCGAGGTCCGTCCCGACAGCAGACACCGACCCGAGGTCCACCCCGACAGCAGACACCACCCCGAGGTCCGTCCCTACAGCAGACACCACCCCGAGTTCCGTCCCTACAGCAGACACCACCCCGAGGTCCGTCCCGACAGCAGACTCCACCCCGAGGTCCGTCCCTTCAGCAGACTCCGACCCGAGGTCCGTCCCTACAGCAGACTCCGACCCGAGGTCCGTCCCGACAGCAGACACCGCCCCAAGGTCCGTCCCGACAGCAGACACCACCCCGAGGTCCGTCCCGACAGCAGACTCCACCCCGAGGTCCGTCCCTACAGCAGACACCACCCCGAGGTCCGTCCCTACAGCAGACACCACCCCGAGGTCCGTCCCTTCAGCAGACTCCGACCCGAGGTCCGTCCCTACAGCAGACACCACCCCGAGGTCCGTCCCGACAGCAGACTCCACCCCGAGGTCCGTCCCTTCAGCAGACTCCGACCCGAGGTCCGTCCCTACAGCAGACTCCACCCCGAGGTCCGTCCCTACAGCAGACTCCACCCCGAGGTCCGTCCCGACAGCAGACACCACCCCGAGGTCCGTCCCGACAGCAGACTCCGACCCGAGGTCCGTCCCGACAGCAGACTCCACCCCGAGGTCCGTCCCTACAGCAGACTCCGACCCGAGGTCCGTCCCTACAGCAGACTCCACCCCGAGGTCCGTCCCGACAGCAGACACCACCCCGAGGTCCGTCCCGACAGCAGACACCACCCCGAGGTCCGTCCCGACAGCAGACTCCACCCCGAGGTCCGCCCCTCCCCTGCCACCCGAGTCCCCCACCTCGGCGGTCAGCTCACCTCGTCGAAGCCCTGCAGCCAGAGCCGGGGCGTGCGGTAGTAGTTGTCGTACGTGATGTTGAGGTTGTAGGTGCGGGTGCGCACAATCTCTTCGCCGGCCGGCTCCGTGGCGGCGGAGGGGGCACCGGAGGCGGCGCACGGGGTGGCGGGCGCCGGCAGCGTCCGGGCCAGAGCATCGTCCTGGGAAGGAGGCGCCGTCCGTCAGCCGCGCCACTCGCCGCCGGGGCCGGGACCTGAACGGGGCTCAGCCGCGCCACTCGCCGCCGGGCCCGAACGAGGCAACACAATCCAACTACAGCCGACATGTGAAACAAATTACAGTCAGATTTTACCAATCATCAATATTTGAGGTTAAAAAACTCGTAATGGTATATGTAAAAGGGCTGTTTGAGCTGATGATAAATGACAATCTACCCTCCATTAAGCAGTATGTGTGAACACCACGTAAGGATTTCGAGGCTACGGGCAAATCCCAGCTAAATTTCATGCAGAGAAATCCACTATCGCATCGAAGAATGAAGCACAAACGACTGCCATCACTTGTCAGGCATGAGCTTCGAAAGTATCCAGCACCTAACAGCGGCCACCTCTGTTGGTATCAGGCACAGGACAGCTCGGGCAGCGGTTCACCAATGCCGCGGCCGGTGCCCCACCGCGCCGGACGGACTCACCGGGTCGTCCAGGCCGGCCTCCTCAAACTCCTCCATATCACACGCCTCGCCGTCGCCGTCGTCGTCGCTGTCGGCGGCGGCTGGCGGCGGGGGCGGCGGGGGCGGGGGCGGCTCGGCGGGCGCCTCCATGGCCAGGGCGGCGCTCTCGCCGCCGGCGCCGCTGGCCGTGCCGCCGCTGAAGTGGTGCGTGTCCACCCAGCCCTCGCCGTCGCCGTCGTCTGGCTCGATAACGCGCTCCTGGGCCTCGTCATGGTCCAGCTGGGGAGGGGGGGGGGGGAGGCAGCGGTTAGGGCTGGTAAAGGCATGGTCCGAGCAGTCTGCCGCCAGGACATTCACCAATGGCCGCCCCTGCCCTCCCGTCCCTCACACCCACCTGTTTGCAGCGCCGGTGGCAGGGCACGTTACGGGTGATGAGAAACTGTTTGTCTGCGGGCAGGTAGGTTTTGGCGCGGCTCTTCTCGCCGGCGGCCCAGGCCCAGGTGGGACAACTGTGCACCAGCTGGTCGCCGCACTCGACAAACTCCTCCGGGGTGAGCATCCCCCGCTCCCGGAAACACGACTCCTGTACACACACAGACAAACAGGGATGAGCACCCCCGCTCCCGGAAACACGACTCCTGTACACACAGACAAACAGGGGTGAGCACCCCCGCCCTCCAGAAACACGACTCCTGTACACACAGACAAACAGGGGTGAGCACCCCGCCCCCAGAAACACGACTCCTGTACACACAGACAAACAGGGGTGAGCACCCCGCCCCCAGAAACACGACTCCTGTACACACAGACAAACAGGGATGAGCACCCCCGCCCTCCAGAAACACGACTCCTGTACAGTGATGCGGCCGCTGCAAGGTGGCGCCACCTCCCGGTCGGAGGAGCCAACTCTATTCCGTGACGACACCGCTGAGATGGCGCCGGACACCGACTGTCGCCTCATCTCAGCGACCTCACCATATCCACCGACACAAGAAGAGCACCGATGTTTGCTGCGACCGAGCCGCCTGACAATCAAGCAGACACGACAGGTGGATATCCGAGCGGCGGCTGAGTTATCCTGCGCTCTGAAAATAGGACACCTGAACGTGCGCTCCCTTACAGCTCACCTGGACCAGGTGAATCTCCTGCTGCTCCGGGAGCAGCTGGATGTTCTCTGCCTCAGTGAGACATGGCTCACTGAGACTGTCGACTCGACCGCAATCCTGTTTCCGGGCTACACCATCTGCCGAAGGGACAGGAGAAAAAAGAAGATCGGAGGTGGAGTCGCCATCCTGTACCGCAGCGCCCTGAAGGCGGAGCAGCTGCGAGTACCAGCCGACGATTCGGCGGTGGAGGCGCTGTGGATGCAGATCTCCAGCCGATCTACCATCGTCGTCGGTGCGGTATACCGGCCCCCGTCTGGGCCGACGGCGCCGGCCATCGACTGCCTCCACAATCAGCTGATGCACGTCCTCGCACGCGCTCGCCCAACATACCTTCTCGGTGACGTCAATATAGACGTCTCGCAATCTGCCAAGCCTGGAGTGGCATCCTACACCCAGCATCTGAGCGACCTGTCACTGAAACAGCTGATCACCGAGCCGACCCGCCCAGGGCCGACTCCGTCGCTGATCGATCACCTCGTCACCAACCGACCAGACATGACGACTGGTGTCCGTGTGACACCCTGCAACATCAGCGACCATGACCTGATCACGGCGCTCGTCGCCGATGTCAAGACACAACACGTGCCCGAAGCCATCACCGTGCGGTCCACACGGCGTGTGAACACCGACGCTCTCAGTCTCGACCTTCTACAAGCCGACTGGTCCCAGCTGTACGGGGCTGACTCCACCACCAACATGTGGAACAGCTTCCTCGCCACGTGGAACCCCATCATCGACCTTCACATGCCGATGCGGACCATCCGAGTGAGGAACAGGCTGGGTCCATGGCTCGATGACGACACTGTGCGCGAAGCTATGGCTGCTCGAGACCAGGCTCGCGCCGACAGGGACCACACACCCTGTGACGTCACCGAGAGGGAGTTTCGGGAGAGCCGCAACGCAGTGAAGATGGCCATCAACCGAGCCAGCGCCGCCTTCTACGCCTCCTCATTCAGACACTCCCGCCCAAGGACCTGGAAGAGCGTCAGACAGTTCCTGATCTCGTCCCAGAAGACGCAGCACAGGGCTGTCGGCGATGCACCGGCGGACCCCGACTGGCCAGACCGTCTGAATCGGTTCTTTACTTCGGTCGGCTCCGATGTGGCTGGCGCGCTGGCGGAGTCCGATTCTGGTGCCCCCTTGCCGCCACGACCGCCGCGCGTGTGCGCCGGAGCGTTCTCGCCGGGTCCTGCCACACTGCCGGAGCTCAGTGCGGCGCTCCAGCGCATGAGCTCATCGAGGGCCTGCGGCTCAGATGGGATAACCGTACACATGCTGCGCTGTACCTTCCCAGTAGTTGGTCCGCACCTATTAAAGATTGTGAACCATTGTATCACTCGCTGCGACTTACCTGATCAGTGGAAGTCAGCCACTGTCACAGCACTGCATAAGAAAGGTGACACGTCGGACCCAAACAACTATCGGCCGATATCTGTGATCTCTGTCGTGGCCAAGTTATGTGAGCGGGTAGTCTGTACGCAGCTGGTGGCATACTTGACATCTCATCATGTACTCTGTCCTCAACAGTACGGTTTCCGGCAAGGACAGTCTACTGAGGCGGCGCTGCTCGACGCTGTCACTTTCGCGACTGACAACATCGATCGAGGCATGATGACGTCACTTGTGACAGCTGACACGTCTAAGGCATTCGATAGTGTCGAGCATGGCCGCCTCTTAGACAAGATGGAGTGGTACGGTGTGCGGCGCGAGTGGTTCGCAGCCTGGCTGCGGGGGCGTACGCAGACTGTGCGGGGCGGGTCGTGCTCGCTGGATGTTACGCATGGAGTGGTCCAGGGATCCATTTTGGGCCCCGTGCTGTTCATCCTCTTCACGAACGACCTGCCACAACACATACCCCATGGTAGGATCGTGATGTATGCTGACGACACCCAATTCCTTGACGCTGACATCCCATCTAACCTTGAAGCACTTAAAACGCGCATTGAAAGCTCTCTCGCTATTTCACTCAAATGGTTCACACAAAATCGGCTTAAAATCAACCCGACTAAGACAGAGATGACCATTTTAAGATCTTCCCGTCAGACAGTCCGTTCGGACTTTGCCGTTCACTTCGGCGGCGATGAAATTCTTCCCAAAGATAGTGTCAAAGTCCTGGGTGTCGTCATTGACCAACACTTGTCTTGGAGCTGTCACATTAGCTCAGTCGTCCAACGGTGCTACTGCGTGCTAGTGAGTCTTGCGCGTAATAGGCACAAACTACCAAAATGTGTCAGGCAACTTCTGATAGAGTGTCTCGTTTTCCCCCACATTCGTTATTGTTTAACAGTGTGGGGAGGGTGTAATGCAACCCAAAGGCAGCGCTTGCGAAAGGCCATCAACTTCGGTGTCCGCATTGTGACCGGCCTCGGCAGACGTGAACACGTCACGCCATCGCTGCGCGATCTAGGGTGGCTGAGTATCGAGGAGATGATAGCTGAACGTGATATTGCCACCATGCGCCGTCTCATCACCTGCCCCGACGCTCCTGAGATGCTGCGCCGCCGAGTGTTGGCGCGGTCCGATGTGTCCTCTCGCCGCACACGCGCCAGTGAGAGCGGGCAGGCTGAACTACCTCGAGTACGGACTGAGTTTGCCAAGCGCAGTTTCCTCTACCGTGCGGTGAAGGCTCTAAATGCTACGATGTAGCTGGAGCTCACCTAGATTGGGTGCGATTTTATAGAAACGGCCGTTTTTTACTGTCTCATTTATCGCCTTTTATCACACGAAGTGTATTGTATTGATGTGTTTAACCATCACTTTTGTACTGACGTAGACGCTATATAATCCATGTCATGGAAGGTCTTAATACATTATCTATCTATCTATCTATCACACAGACAAACAGGGGTGAGCACCCCGCCCCCAGAAACACAACTCCTGCACAAAACAAGTAAAGTGTGGTTCATTAAAACAGGACAACAGACATCTATTTATTTACCAGATTTTCTTGCCAGAAATGTTCTTTATTCACGCGATTTTAGTTGAATGTGAATACGTCCAGTACTTTGAAGAATTAAGCAAGCACCATTAGCTGAGCAGTGTGCGCCAAATCAGTGATAAAGCAGCTGTATCAGCCAACACCAAAACACAGCTAACAATCTGTACATGAAAGCATAACTTATTTTTTGCTTGTGCAATCTCTTACCGTCAGAAGGGGAGTGACCTGCTCTGCGAAGCCCAGGGCGGCCCCCCGGACGGTGTTCAGCACTGACTGCATTGTTAATTAATGTTATTCCTGATTTATCTGAAAAGTCAGAAAATCAGTTGAAAACCAGCTGGCCAGGGGGCTGTTTCACTGCCGCGCCGATAGCCACTGCCAGCGCATTTCACGAGATGACGTCACACTTGTGGTAGGGTTGGAGCGATGGGCTTGTGGATGTATCCATGGAAACCCAATTTTACACGTGCACTGGCAGAGCGCTGGCAATGGCCATGAAACAGGGCCCAGGGGAAGTTTGAACTGGAAAGCAT